TTGTTTGTTTGTTATTCCCCTCTCCCCTCTGTACTCAACCTGGATTATTCAGTGTTTCCTTATTTTGGCCAAAAATGCCCTGTCTAAAGTTAGGTTTCTTTGTTGGTACGAGTCCTCCCCTTCACTTCCACCCACTTCCAAGTGTATGTTACCATGTGATTGCAGGCATAATGGAGGCAAGAAGATAACACTGAGCATCTATCTCTTGGTGTTCATTTCTGTGCCTCCCAGACTAGCTCTAGCTGACTTAGTAGGAGCTTCTGAGATATTGCCTGCTCCACTTCCCATCCCCTACAGGAGTCCGGGATTAGAGACCTGTGCTACCATGTCCAGCTTTGTGTCAGCTCTGAGGGTCCAAACTCCAGTCTTCACACTTGTGCAGCACTTTACCCAAACCTCCAAAGCCCTCAAGATGGGCCTTTCTTTTCCTTTCTTTTTCTTTCTTTCTTTCTTTCTTTCTTTCTTTCTTTCTTTCTTCCTTCCTTCCTTCCTTCCTTTCTCCCTTTCCTTCCTTCCTTCTTCCTTTCTTTTTGGGTTTTTTCCCTCCCTCCTTCCCTTTCTCCTTTCCTCCCTCCCTCCCTCCCTCCTTCCTTCCTTCTTTTTGTTTTGTTTTCCAATAAAGGGTTTTACTGTGTAACAACAGCCTTAGCTGTCCTGGAACTAGCTCTATAGACCAGGCTGGCCTTGAGCTCACAGAGATCTGCCTGCTTCTGATTCCTGAGTGCTGGGATTAAAGGCATGAGCCACCACCTCCTCAAGTTGGGGCTTCTGATGTAGTGTTTAGGTTTCTTGTTATGTTATGCTAATAAAGAACATTACAGAAGCAGCTAATGACCTGATAGGCTGCTTGATTATTGTATTTTCAGCCTTCTGTCCCTTTGGACCCAAGTTCCTAATAAATTATAGCTCTAGTCAGTGCTTGGCTGCTGCTTTCTCAGCCTCTTTTCTAGAACTCTTTTTGAGTTAAAGTTGTGGACCTGACTCTAATCTGTCTTGAGAGTATGCTGAGCCCCTTTACCCCACAGAGCCTCCTCCCTCCTCACTGTGGATTTAGTGCACATTAAGTCTAGGGGTTAGCTTAAATGCTGGTTTGTGTTTTGTTTGCTGTTGATGATGGTGTTCCTGGTGTGTAAATTGTTCATCACGGACCCTCTCTTCCCTCTTCCCTTTCATTTATTACCAAATGTATAGGGCATTTTATTACCCATTTTGGCTGAAAATACAGTTAGGCTTTTTAAAAAGAACTCTTTTTAAAGTGTGTGTGTGTGTGTGTGTGTGTGTGTGTGTGTGTGTGTGTGTGTGTACCGGTGTCCATGGGGGCCAGGAGAGGGTGTTGTATCCCTTGACACAGACAGCTGAATGCTGCCAGATATGGGTGCTGGGAACCAAACTAAGATGCTCTGCCAGCTTTCTTACTTACTGAGCCCTCTCTCCAGTACCACTTTAAGGAATTCTTTACAACCAAAGAAAGAGAAAGGGCTAATTTATTCAGTTCCTAGAGGGACAATCAAAGTGGGAAAGCTCTACAACTACGGCCTCCTGATAGCCAGGCCCTGTACTATCTCTTTCTTGGCCTTCAGAGTCCACTCTCACTCAGACTTACAAACTTTTCTCCCCATTTAAAACATCTGTTCCTAGCCCGGCCGTGGTGGCACACACCTTTGATCCCAGCAGAGGCTGGCAGATCTCTGTCTACAAAGCTACACAGAGAAACTCTGTCTCAAAAAATCAAACAAGCAAACATCGGTTCTCTGAGGAACCATCAGTACTCAGCATTCTCTCAATGGAGTCAAGAAAAGTATTTAAACTAAACCATGGACAAGGATTTTTGAACCCAAATATGTATTTAACCAATCAACTTGGAGAGTCCGTTTATGTGTGAGTGATGGGAGGAGCTGGCCTTGTCCACGTGAGTTCTCCTAGCACCAGACACTATCTCAAGAACAGACAGTAGGACTTCCAGAATGCAGCTCCTTGAAGTTAGGAGGTAACAATAATGTAGCTATGATGACGACATCCTTTCAAGAAGGGGAGCTAAGCACAGAATGAATGGCCTTCTGAGTGAGGGTTCGAATAAGGTGCACACTTGTAAGCTTCTGTGAGAATGCACACACACTCCTGACCACTTATAACCAATTGCCATCTGGGCATGTTTAGGAATTGCTGGTCATGGATTGGGATTATAAGAACTATGGGATGGCACCTATGGGATGGCACCATACTTTCTATAAACATTATGGGAATCCTTGTACTAGAATAATGTCAGCCAGAAGCCTGGCTTTGAGAGCATCAAGAAGTAAAGCCAGGCCCTTGGTAGCAGACCAAGGCTTAGAGAAAAGAAGGATGAATCTCAACAAAGAGGAGCTGTGGCTGTTGTGATAGGTGCAAAAGGCAAAAGGAGGGCTTGAGGAGAGGCTCAGCAGGTAAACTGCCTGCCACTTAAGTGTGAGGACCTTAGTTCAGATCCCCACTGTGCACAGTCATATGTATCTCTAACCTCAATGCCAGGGAGAAGAGTCAGGTGGATCTCCAGTGATACCAGAATAGATGAAATGGTGGGATCCAGGTCATTGAGAGACACTCTCAGATAGATGGATGGATGGATGGATAGATAGATAGATAGATAGATAGATAGATAGATAGATAGATAGATAAGTGCAGCGTGATAGAGGAAGACACCTGAGATCAACTTCTGGCCTCCCCAGGCACATACAGGGATGCATGCACCTACACACACACTTACACACAAGCACAGAGAAAGAGTGAGGGGGTGCAAAGGATGAGTGCCAGGGATCTTTAGGAGTCCGGTTTGAGAGGGAGCTTCAGTTATCATTAGGCCTTTATGAAGGGCTAAAATTATGGCTGACTGGCAATATGCATGCTTAGCATGCATACAGCCCTGGGTCTAGCCCCCTCCACAAATAAAGATCGGACTGCTGGCTAGAGAGGTGGCTTAGTGGCTAAAAGCACATAATTGCTCTTGCAGAGAACCCAAGTTTAGCTCACAGTACCCATGTTAGTAGCTGACAACTACATGTGACTCTAGCTCCAGGGGGATCTGATGCTCCTGGTATCTTCTAGAACATACCAGACATGGAAAATTTCCCAGCTTGGTCCTACAGAAATATATGGAAGAAGTCCTTTTATCCCACTTGCTCAATAAAACACAACTGTTGATTAAGAAATGAAAAGGATCACAAGCCTGCTAAGAATCTAATAGTCTGTATTAGTTAACTTTCTCTTGTTGTGATAAAACACCATGACCAAGGCAATTTATGGAAGGAAGAGTTTATTTGGGCTTATGGGTCAAGAGGACTATAGTCCACGACGGTCAGGAAGCATTATGGATGAAGCAGCAAGCTGAGAGCTCACATTTTGAACCACAAGCATGGAGCAGAGAGAGTGAGCTGGTTGTGGCAGAGGCTGTTTTTACTTTCAAAGCCTACCCCCAGTGATATACTTCTTCCAACAAGGCCACATCTCTTAAAATGCTCCATATGATGCCACCAGGTGGGGACCAAATATTCTAGTGCCAACGTTATATAGAAGACATTTCTCATTCAAACCACCCCAGAGTCCATGACCCTCTCCACATAAAAAGGACATATGCAAATGTCCCGGAGAATTTCAGTGAGTTGGTGAACACCAGATTAAAATTTTCTCCTTGCCTGGAATGAAACATCATTTCTTACATAATTAACTATAGGGTTATTTGTTTGGATTTGTTCCAATACAGAGTTTCTCTGTACTGCCACCTGGGGCCATGGTGTCATCTGGACCAGGTTGCTGCCAAGGGCCATGTGTGGGTCTGTGGCCCTAGAGCAGCCAGGGTCCAGATTGCCATATGTGGCTCCTGTTGCCACCAAGAACCGTGAGGATGCTCAGGGTCAGATCAGCCACCTGGGTCCAGGCTGATGTCTGAGGGACAGGGTGCATCCAGACCTGAGTGGCTTACAATGCTACTAGGGCAGTGGTGACAACCAGACACAGCTGCTACTAAGGACCATGTTGGGGTCCATGGTCCTACCATGGCTGTGGTCTGTGCTGATATCAGGGTCCTGCATTGCCACCAAAGGTCACATAGAGAAAGGCCCATGGTTAAGACTGCAACCTAAGGCCTTGGGGGTGTCTGACATCCGTAAGGCTGCTTGAACCATTCCCACCTGAGTGGTTATTCCTTACACCCAGAGCTAAGATGTAATCTGGCCATGACATCCCAGCTGCTGCTAAGGGCCATGTCTGAGTTTGAGGTCCAGCTGCAACTGGGGGACTGTGTTGATATCTGTGGCCTGTGTTACTCAGGAGCCTTAGAAACCATGCAAGATGAAATTAGAGGGTCATGATAAGCCAGCCCCATCCTTTGCTGGCCCTGAGAAAGCTGGCCTTGCTTCTCACTGGACACTACAGCAAGAGAGATGGCCCCACCTCTCACCATAGGAGAGGCTGAACTAATCCTGTGGGCATGCACCTAGGGGAGCTGACTCAGGCCTCTCACCTAAGGTGGGTTGGCCCAGAGTGACCAGCTCCCTTACCACCCAGGCCCACAGCCGGGCCTTGAGTTGACCCACCCTAGCATCTACCCCATCTAGGACCTGCAGGAGCTCATAAGAAGTCTGGTCCTGTGGAACAATACCCAAATGATCTTCAAGACTCAGGGCAGCTACAGGTTATTAGAGGAGTTCTAGTGAGGATCCTGTGAGGATGGTGTACCAGAAACCAGGGGTCTTGAACTGAACCAGTGACTTATTGCAATGGACATTTGTGGTCACTAAAAGAGGATACTGGGTGTCCTCCATCTCCTCATCTCCACCTATTCTTTGAGGAGCCTTGTCGGTGTTTGGATTCAAATTCTGAACCCCATGATTTTGCATCCAGCACTGCTAACTGCTGAGCCATTTCTTCAGCCCTTCATTATTTTATGATGGTCTTACATATTTTGGGTGCAACACACACAAAAGACATTCCCTTAGCTTTAATGCTACTACGGACATGATATCAGGTTTCATCGAATTTGCACAATCATTTCTCACTTAGCCCACCTCTGTTTGCACGACAGCAGGATTTACCCTTCCCTATTTCTATCACAGTCTCGTACTTGGTTGTTTCTCCCCTCTCATACTTGGCTGTTTTTCTTGTATCACACTTGGTTGTTTCTCCCCTCTCCCACTTAGAAATTGCATCTCAGGACTTGACTTTGCAGCTGTAGCAGGCGGTATTATTGGTGGGTTTTGCAGCCTAGACTTATGCTGTGGGGTCATAGTGTCACTTTGATCAGGAAGATGAGATTGGAAAGTTATGTAGTTGAGAAAAGAAATGATCCCTAGAGGAGAAGAAAAAAAAATGAGGTATGGTTTGACGGGCAGATGGTCTGTTAGGTTTTAAAAATCATATTCATCATTTCATATTCAGTCTTAAAAGGCATCTTTTCTGTAATTCCTTCCCCACCCCACCCCCACTATAGGTTAATTTGCCCTCCAGTAACCGCTTTCTCTGGTTAAAGTTCCACTCTCCTGGATTTCAGCAATGGTGCTATTGTTTTCTGTGTGCCCTTAAGCAAGTTACTTAACACATCTCTTTCTGTGAGAGAACAAGTTACTAATTCTAGGCTTTTGATTGTCAAATCTAGCTTTCCCCACAGCACCACCCTGCCTCTCCACATAGAAACATACTATACTTCTATGTCTTCGATGCTACCTCATGTTACAGAAATGATTTCCCATTCCTCCTCTAGGCACAGAGCAGGGCACTGACTCACCAGCACAGACATACAAGATGTCACTGCACCAATTAAGATAATAGGCCCACAGGAACTCTGATTCCATGGTGCTCTTTGTGTACCACTCAACCTGGGCCAGAAACAGGTTGAGGCAGAGGAGCAAGCAGACAGCTGGGACCAGAAAGAAAGATGTCACACCTATCAGCATCTTCCATCTGCCTTGGCTGCCACCCCCAGCTCCTCTTTCATTTGCAGGGATCTATCCATGGCAAAGATCAAAAGATTAAAGACTTGGGAATTAGCCAAGATGAGAGGAAGAAGGGGTCCTCCCCCTTGGTATACGACAATTATGGCATGTTCTATGCCTTGAGACAGGACAGGGAGCTGGTCACTAGGTAATGTGGAAGAGCAGTAATGGATAGGGAAGACCATGGAAGCCCCCAGAGAGACTTAGTTTCTTTGACTATTTTCCCCTCAGTGTGTTACCTTGCCAGTGAGTACCTGAGCAGAAGCTGAGGATGCACACCTTCAGATCCAACTCAGAGGACAGGATTCCTTCTGCAGGGTGGCAGGAGCTGAAGAGCAAGCCGAGGCCAGTAAGCATGCAGAGGACAGAGATGATGAACAAGGCCCTGGAATACTGGAGGTAATCTGCAGTGAGGAAAGGCTTGGTTACACTAGTAACATCCTAGAAGAAAGCTAGAGAGCCAGGCATAGTGGCACACACCTGCCATCCCAAACTCAGGAGGGCTAGGGAGTTTCAGGTCAGCCTGGGCTACATAGTGAGTTCCAGGCTAGCCTTGGCTACTTGAGACCCCGTCTCAAACAAACAAACAAATGGGTATGTAATTAAAGCTAGATAAAAATCTCAGATATGTGAGCAGGACAAAATAAGAAGAAATGGAGTTTGCCATGTGGTACTATGGACACTGATAAGAGCTTTACTCAGTAGACAAAAGATGAAGTGGAGTTTGCCACATGGTACCATATGATCTTCTTCCCTAAGTTTTCACTGTCACTTCAAACACCTCTCCCCATCCCCTTCTGATACATGATTTCACTATGCATCTTAACCTGGCCTTGAATTCTTGCTGCTCCTGAGTCTGTGCTGGAATTATAGGTACATACTACCACTACCTGGTTACATGAATTTTCTTTCCTAAGGACAAACTCTTTGTTGCCAAATCAGGGATAATACATCAATATTTCTGTCGTTAGCTTATAAGAGGAGTTATTGCCATCATAAACCAGCTTAAAACTTTTTTGTTTCTAATTCTAACTCTTTGGAGGCTGTCCTGGAACTAGCTCTTGTACACACCAGGCTGGTCTCTAACTCACAGAGATCCATCTGCCTCTGCCTCTCGAGGGCTGGGATTAAAGGCATGCACCACCAACACCTGGTAACTTATCTCTAAGTATTCTTTTTCTACTCTCTGTATAGAGTGGGTAAGAAATGAGTTGTTTTCCTGAAGATTTTACAATAAGAGTTTTCCTCAGGTACCTGTTGTAAAAATCATTTGTGTGTGTGTTCTTCCTGTGTCTTTGCATGTGTGCATAAGTGTATGCAAATATGTAGAGGCCAGAGGTCAATGTTGGGTGTCTTCCTCAATTTCTCATTATCTTGTTTTTTTTTTTTTTTTTTTTTTTTTTTGAGGCAGGGTCTCTCACTGAACCTGACTACTGACTAAACTGGAATGGCTGGCCAGTGAGCTCCGGGTTTCTACCTGTCTGTCTTTGCCTCCTTAGTGCTAGTGGTGGGGCTTTACAGGCACACATCTGCACCAGTCCTGTTGTTTTATTTTCTTACCTAGGTTTTGGGGATCTAAATTCAGATCTTCATGCTTGTACTCCAAATACTTTGCTGACTGAGCTATCTCCCCAGCCACACAAACATAATTTTCAATGGCTATAAAATAGTCAGTCATAGTCACTACTTTGCCCAATGAATATTTGTTGTTGAACCTGGAGTTTGTTTCTCTGGTTTTTCTCTAAATGATGTATCTAGCATTTGTTGACCTTGTCAACTAGAGACTGAAAAAAAAATGGAGTTACACTTACTGTAGCTTCTATACTGCAATGATTTCAAGATCAAACATACGAATACAGCAATTTAATACCCATAGCCCTCTTTTTCTGAGAGCCTCCCAAAGCCTTATTTCACATTTGTTTAGGAGTTTAGAAGAGTACAATCATTCCAGTGTTGTGGACTATTTTTTTTAACTATGTAAAGATGCGTTACATTTGCTTATGCTGCAGAATATTACTTTAACTGTGTAAATGTGTATTACATTTGTTTATGCCATATTTGTTTAATGATGTGAGAAAGTGTCTTTAATTATGTAAAGATGTGTTGAATTTATTTCACCTTGCCTGCCTAAGGTACCTAATTGATCTAACAAAGAGCTGAATGGCCAACAGCTAGGCAGAAGAGGGATAGGTGAGGCTGGTGGGAAGACAAAATAAATAGGAAGAGAAATCTAGGCTGAAGAGAAGAATGAGAGGAAGAGGAGAGAATGAGAGAGATGCCCGGGGCCAAAACCAGGCAGCCACCAGCCAGCCAGACATGGAGACAACAGGAAAGTAAGATACAAAGAAAGGTTACAAAGTCTTGACACAAAACTTAGATAAAGAGAAACAAATTAAAATAAGAGCTAATATAGAGCTGAGCATTCATAACTAATATTAAATCTCCATGTCAATGTAGGCCAGGCTGCCTCCAGAGTTCAGGGACCCTTCTCTCTTCTCTTAGTTTTTGTTTTGTTTTGTTTTGTTTTGTTTTGTTTTAGTTTTTTCAAGAGACAGGGTTTCTCTGTGGTTTTGGAGGCTGTCCTGGAACTCATTCTGTAGACCAGGCTGGCCTTGAACTCACAGAGATCTGCCTGCCTCTGCCTCCAGAGTGCTGGGACTAAAGGCATGTGTCACCATGGCCTGGTCTTCTTAGTTCTGCTAGAGAGTGGATGTTGATTCTAGAGTAAGGGTGGGTGGGAAACACATCCCCAGCCTAAAACCTTTCCCTCTTCCAGCTTCTCCACTGACATTTTACTGAAGCTTTAATAAACGAGATTTCCATCCAGAAGTAGAAGCCTTTCTGAGCCACTATAGTCTATGATCTCTTCAGCATCATTTGCATGTAACATGCCTCTCTAGTTTCTTTCAGACACATTTGAAGCAGGAAATAGCTCTGCTCTGTCACTGAAAGTTCTAGAAGCACTGCTGTTTCATTTCATTTTATCTGTGTTTGGGATTGAACCCAGGACTTTGTTCACATTAGGCAGGCATCTGACCACTCTACTGAGACACCACTCTTTTAATTTTGTTTTTATTGTTTTATGTGTATGAGTGTCCTGACAACAAGGGTTCCTGCCCACCATAGGTGCACATAGTGCATGGAGGGCAGAAGAGGGCGTCAGATCCCCCCAACTAGTTGTAAACCACCATGTGGGTGCTGGGAATCTAACCTAGGTTCTCGGGAAGAGCAACTAGTGCCAGTGTGGGTCACCTCTCCAGCACCACATACTGCTGCTTTGTAAACGTCATTCAGTATTCACTCTTGGGCTAACTTTGAACTCAAGATAATCCTGTGGATTCCTCCCAAGTCCTGGGATTACAGGAGTGTATTATCACATCCAACCTCTCCAAACACAGTTAAGTCCAAGTCCAGTTTCCAAACAACCTAGAAAAAAGAAGTTGTGTACCAAGGTTATTTTAATTTGTCAGGAATGGTGGCATATGCTTTTGATCCCAGTACTTGGGAGGCAGATACAAGCAGATCTTTGAGGGTTCAAGGCCACTCTCGTCTACACTATCAGTTCCAGGATAGTCAGAGCTACATAGTTGAGGTCCTGTCTCAAAAAAAAAAAACCAAACAAAGATTATTTCAGTTTTATACAGGTGAGGTAGTACCACACAGGTGGTGCCAGCACTTGGGATGTACAGACAAGAAGATCAGAAGTTCTAGGTTGTCCTCAGCTACATAGTCACCTGAAGGCCAGAGAAGGCGACATGAGACTCTATCTTTAAAATAATACAAAAAAAGCATGCTAAACAAAACAAAGCTGTTTAAAAAAATCTGCCACATAAATTTCATTTTGTTCTCTATAGGCTGTTACTTATGATAAAAAATAGTCATTTCCAGTGGGCAGTGGTGGCTTATACTTTTAATCCCAGCACTTGGAAGGCAGAGGCAGGTGGATCTCTGTGAGTCTGAGGCCAGCCTGGTCTACAGTGTGAGTTCCAGGATAGTCAAAAAAATAAATAAAAGTAAAAATAATAATTTCTATCTGTAGAAATCATAAGCCTGACCACAGAGGTGAATTGCTTTGAGGCCTCCAACAAATTGGCCATACTAAAAAGAAAAGAACTTAAAGACAGTGTGTATCCTGGGTCACTGAGAATGAGTCCTGTAACCTTGAGAGAGACCCACCAGCCCGGATGGTTCTGTAAGAAGCCCTGTGACCTACGTATCTTTTGCATGTTTAGCTCTCAATACCCCAGTCAGTCCTTGTCTGCAACAGGAAACTTGACCCAAATTGGATCTTGATTATTATGCTTGGAAATGTCAATTTCCTCCTTTGCATGTGTGAACTAATGAGCTGTAAGGCTAAGTAAGCTTGGATGTCACTTTTTGGCTCCGGCACACTAATAAACAGGAAAACCTGGACCATGGAGATAAAACAAAACATAAACAACGAAGACTGTCAACTGGACATTGGAGAGCCAGAGTGACTCCATGGTGCGGTTTTCTTTGTCTGAGAGAGAGCCCAGTCTTGGGTCCCTTCACACCCTCTGCACTTCCTGCTGTTGGCAGTTTATGACATTCTTATCTTTAAAAAAGTTCACCCTTAAGCTTACACTAACTCACATGATTCTGGTGTGTGTGTGTGTGTGTGTGTGTGTGTGTGTGTGTGTGTATGTGTGTATGTATGTGTGTGTGTGTGTGTGTGTGTGTGTGTATAGGTGGGGGCAGCAAGATGGATCAGTGGCAAAGGCACTTCATGCCAAGCCTAAAAACCTGAGTTGCAACTGGGCACTTGCGGTGCATACTTTTAATCCCAGCACCAGGGAGGCAGAGGCAGGTGGATCTCTGTGAGTTCCCGGCCCAGTCTGGGCTACAGAGTCAGTTCCAGGACATCCAGGGCTGTTACACAGAGAAACCCTGTCTCTAAAAAACAAAACAAAACAAAACAAAAAAAAAAACTGACTTGGATCCCTGGAACCCATGGGGTGGAAGGAGAGAAGCAACTCTGGAAAGTTGCACTCTGACTCCCACAAATGTGCCATGGCATATGCATATCCATATATACACAAAAATAAATACATGTATAACACATATATGTTAACATACATTCACACACACACACACACACACACACACACACACACACAGAGTGGTGTTTGAAGCAGGTATGGCTATGTTACCAATGCTGGTCTCAAACATAATCTTCCTCCCCTACAAGGAATGAGATTACAGGCATGTGCTATCATGCTTAACATATTTTTCCCCTGAGACAACATCACAGGATCATTTTCCTTTTTGAGATAGAATTTTGTGTAGCTCAGGTTTTCTAGAACTGCCTTCTGAGTGCTAGGGCTATAACCAGGTGCCACCACACCCGGCTAATGCTTTGTATAAACCTTGCACACGGTAGGTAAGCACACTGCCTACTAAATCACACCAAGCCCTCTACATTTTGGAGGCAGTGAGACAGGGTAGCTCTTGCTGTCCTGGAACTCACTATATAGACCAACCATGCTGACCTCAACGTGAAGAGATCATCCTGCCTCTGCCTTCCTAGTGCTAGGATTAAAATATGCATCACTATGTCTGGTCCCCTCCATTTTAGCTATTTATTTGTTTGTTTGTTTGTTTATTGCAGAACTGGATACTGGTGATGTCTTCCTGCTACATCAACTAACAGACACATTTCCAATCTGAGTTTAATATTCAAAGGATGAAGGCACACTGGCTGAGAGTAACATGCACTTCTATTCATCTCACAATCTTCTCCAACTTCACCCCTGTGCTCCTGAAAAACTACATGGATCCTTGAAGCTTCATGAGAGCAAACAAAGCTTGACATCACAAAGTCTAACCATCCTAATTAACCAGTTCTACTCACAAGAATTGTATGCCCCAAATTACACAGCCCAAATGAAACACTTAAGAGTTTAAAACATCTATATTTGGTTAACTTCATTGCTTTTGTCTTTTAATCCACCTAACAAAACAAAATAAACCAAAACCAAAGATCCTAACACTGAATTCTAACCTTCACTTCCCGTAGAACCAAAACTCTACTTTTCCAAGAGATTCATTTTTATTTTTTATCTGTGTGTGAGTGAGGGTATGCCACAGTTTGGGTGTAATACTGACTGTAAAGAGGGTCAGGTCCCCTGGAGCTGGGAGTAACTGGGAGCTGTGAGCCTTCTGACATAGGTTCTAGGAACTATAACCTGAATCCTATGAAAGAGTACCTAAGTGATTTTAACCACTTAACCGTAGCTTCCGTCCTGATTTTGAGACAGCATCTCATTAGTTGTCTTGGATGGAGTAGAATTTGCTATGTAGATGAGTACTGGGATTAAAGGTGAGTGCCACCACACACCACCTAATTCAAACAATTTTTTTTTCTTTTGAGACAGGGTCTCACTATGTTACTCTGTCACAGAATTCACTCTGTAGACCAAGCTGGCCTTGAACCCACAGAGATCTGCCTCCTAATTACTGGGATTTAAGGCATGTGCCACTATGGCCCACCATTAATTCAAAATTTTAAAGCAAGACCGTGTGTGTTTGTTTGTTTGTGTGTGTGTGTGTGTGTGATGCTGGGGGCAGGTCCCAGGGACTTGTATATGGCAGATGAGTATTCTACTATCGAGCTTCATCCCAGCTCTGATTCAGCTTTTGAAGGGCAGCAAATTTAGCTATCAAAATGTCAAAACTCTTGAGACCTCTGGTACAAAAGGGCCCCCTGTATATGTCAATAAGAAGCCTTGATCTAGAAAGAGGAATGGCCTATATAAAAAGGACACCCAAGTATCAATCGTGTGGGTCACCTGTATCCAAACCCATCCCAAGCTTACACAGTAGCATCTTATAAATGTCAAAACAATACCACCAGCTTATTATCATTTGGGATAGGAATCAACCTGGGCTCAGAAAGAGGACATATACAGGACACCAGTCACATTTACAACTTGTCTCAGATTCAAAGATCTTGAAGGAAGAAAGGCAACAAAAGCACAATGTAGTAGAAAGCTCAGGAATTGTGGGGCCTGTGGCATTGACTTTAGTGGCACTCACAGGGTGGCTTGGGTGTGTGGCTCCAGCATAGCTCATGGTGGCATAAGGTCCATAGTCCTGCGTTGAGCTCAATGCCATTGTTGGTCACCAGGAACTGCACCCAGCTCAGTGGGGACGTGCAGATCAGCAGCAGGAGGCTAAAGACAGAGAGGCTGCCACCGAACATCCGGGTATAGGTGTATGCCTGATCCACATACAGCTGCCGCTTCTGGGCTGACATCGATTGCTTGTTGGTAGGAAGGGTAGGCTACAAGGATGAGGGAAATAGTGCCCAAGAAGCTAGCCCCAGATTCTCAAAGACTCCTATCTCTCTCTACCTCAACATCCCCATGTTGGTTTGATTTGTACACCAGTTTCCTCACCTCTTGTTTGAAAGCCGGCATTTCTAAGATGGCCTTTTCTGTCTAGCTCAGTCCTCACATCAAGTTCCCTTCCTTTCCTCCCCTCTGACCTTCTGTCTCCTTACCCTTTGGTATTTCCGGTTCCCTTTTATTTTGGAGACCTCAGGACTGTAGAAGGTCATGCTTTGTTCCTTCCTCTCCATCTTGGCAGCCAGTTCACTTTCTAACTGCCATGGAATTTGTCTCAACGCCCCCTCACACATGGCCAGGAGAATTCTGGGGACAGGGGCTGATTCTCTTTTCATTTTCTTCATTCTCATCACACAAGGAAGAAATCACCTCTCTCTCTCTCTCTCTCTCTCTGTGTGTGTGTGTGTGTGTGTGTGTGTGTGTGTGTAAGAGAGAGACACAGAAAGATGCAGAAAAAGAGATGTTCCCTAACTTCTCCAATTTTATTAAATTTACACATATATTCTCAGAATTTGTGTGTTAGGCTTCATGCCAGCCCCTAAAATATAAAGATGAAGACAAATTCTCAGAATAAATTTTAAAAGTGTAACTCCAATTTCAATTGTTTGTGCTTATAATTCAACAGTATGAATGTGTCAGTAGCCAGTAGCCAATGCAATTCATGTTTTTTGCCAGAACTCTAAAAGAGTCTTGATACAGCTATGAGCCTGTCAGTCATGGCCCTTTGTGCAGCATCCTTTTTCTCCCTTTCTTACCCTGGTTCCTCTTTTATTTTAATTTAATTTTTTATTAGTGTGAGTCTGTGTGTTTGCATGTGTGTATGAGGTGTTTTGGGGCATGCATGTAGAGGTCAGAGGAGAGTCCATTCTCTCCTTATACCTTTGCATGTGTTCTGGGAATCTATCTTGGGTCCCCAGGCTTGAATAAAGGGCCTTTGCTCACTGAATCATCCCATTGTCCTCTTGTTCCCTCTTTTCAATATCTCTGTTCATGTAAGGACACCACAGGGCTGAAAGGACCCACCAAAATGCCAGGAGCCAATGCCCTGAACACTAAAATATGATGTGCTAAAAGTGACCACGCTCTAAGATGCTGTGGTGGCGCTAGGCTCTCCGGACCACCTCAGCCTGCTGATGCCCAGGTGACACCCATCTCCTTTTTAAACAACTGTCTACACCTGATCCTAACCCTCACCTCCTAAGAACTCAAGAAAATCAAAGATGCAGTGCAGACGGCATTTAGTTTTCAGAACAATGGTGTGTCAAATCAACACACTGCCACATCACCAGCTCTTTCTTTGTACACATGTAAACTCTGGTCCCTAAGTCTGTCTGAATCTAGATGCCTATCAGTTTATTCTAGCATACCCTCTTCCCGACACCCATGTCCTGTTGAAGCCTGATCTCTATTTTGGCTGGTGAGAACCACTAGTTCTATACTTGTTCATGTCCATGCTGTAGCATGCAGACTTCCATGTGTGTGATATATTTGTGTGTGGCATGTATCCACATGTGTGTACCTGTGTGTATGTATGGAAGCCATAGGTTGATATTAGTTGTCTCCCTCAGTCACATGCACCTTATTTTCTTTTGTTTTCACTAGACCTGGAACTTTCCAATATGGCTAGACTGGCCAGCAGGCTCAGAGCAACTAGTATCTCTGCCTCCCCAGCACTGGGGTTATAGCTGCATGCCACTGCTCCAGGCTTTGTGTGTGAGTACTCGCTGTTGAACTCAGGTCTTCTTGCTTGTGTGACAAACACTTTCTTTCTCTAAGGGTTTGTTTACTTTTATGTTTAATGAGAAGACACATCAGAGAAGGTGCCTCCAGAGACAAGAGAGTGTCAGATTTCCTGTGAGCTGTCTGATGTGGGTGCTGAGAACTGAACTTGGTTCTTTGGAAGAGCAGCCTGCGGGGCTTCTTTTCTAACTGAGCCATCTCCCCGGCTCCTCTGGTATAACACAGGTTGATCCCATACTCATGATCCTCCTGAATCTGCCTCATGAACATTGCCTACTAACAGAAGCCAACACTGCCAGTCAGACTGCCTTCAGCCAGAGTACTATTTAACTTTCCTGGCATTAGTTCAGTGCCTGGAAACAAAGTATGTAAGATGAGTGGCTGGATGATCTACACTCTTTTAGACAAATCACAGAGGTTGGTACAGAGGAGAAAATGGTTAACACTATCTATCAGAAGAAAAGTAGAGAAGTGGTATGGAAGCTATTTTTTAAAGGGATTTCTCAGGTAATCAACATACAGAGCATTTGGGGCAAAGATATATCCCAAGGCAGGAAGCCATGAAAAGCCTCAGGTGCTCAGGGCACTAGCAGTGTGATTCTACTAGGTTTAAAATAAAGGTTACAACTAAGGGTGCTGGTTCACATCTGTAATTTCAGCTCTGAGGAGTCATAGGGAGGAGAATCACCCACGAGTTTGAAACCAGCCTGGCCTACAGAGTAAGTTCCAGGCCAGCCTAATAAAGAGTGAGACGCTGTCTAAAAATACTAAAACACAAACAAACAAAAAAACCTCATATATTGCTTAACACAACTGATGGTTAGATCCTCTTGCTGAAGACACCACATATTTTGATTGTAGGATGTAGAACACAGAAAAATCAATCAGAAACATTCTCTCTGCTGGCTAGCTTTCATAGAGTCAGCAAGTACTTTGCAGGCTGCTGGGGGAGAAAGGACATCAGCAATCTTACCCAGCACTGGATCCTTGTAAGATCTAGGTAATGATTACGAGATCAGTGCCCCTGTGCTGTCTTTTCAAGCTTGCTTGAATACAGTCTTGGCCCAGGCCACATTGAGACAGAAGAAATACTAATATTGGTAGAAAAACTGTTACCCCTGGGATCCCTTCACTGCTGGCATTAACCAAGCATACCACCAAACAGATGATGTTGATGTAATGTGGGGTGTCAGGCCATTTGTGAACAGTGACGAGACATTAAAGGAACAGGTTGGCACCATCCAATCCTCAGGCCTACTCTCAGTAATACCCCAAAGGGTAGGACATTGTGTCTAGCTAGGAACTTGCTAGGGTCTATGATGGATACAATAAAACAAGCATGTAAATCTGGTGGCTGTGTATATTGTCATTTAGTTTATATTCAAGCCATTGTCATTGTTTTGAAAGCAGTTTTATTAGAAGAAAATATGGAGTAATATATTTTTTACTCTGAAATAGGCAATGCTTAAGAAAAACAGTTTAAAAAAAAAAGCTTCAAAGAAATATTTTGTAAATGGGATTACCTTCAAATGAAGAGCTTTTGTTCATCAGATAACAACACCAACAGAGTAAACAGGCAGTCTATAGACAGGTGACTTACAATATGCATAACTAAGGTCATTTGTTAGGATATGTAAAGAATTCTTTAGGGCTGAAGAGACTGCTCAGCAGTTAAGAGCATGAAGTGTTCCTGCAGAAGACTACAGTTCAGTTCCCAGCACCTCATATTAGAACATTCACAACTGCTTGTAATTCCAGCTCCAGGGAATCCAACACACTCTTCTGGACTCCACACGCATGCACATGCACACAGACACAAATAAATAAGTCTTTAAGAAAAATAAGATTTATTTTACCAAGCATTATGGTGGCACATGTCTTTAATATCAGCACTCAGGAGGCAGAAGTCAACCTGATCTACATGATGAGTTCTAGGCCAGCCAAGGGAGCATTCTGAGACTGGGCTAGTAAGAAGGCTCAGATAATGAAGTACCTGCTATGGAAGCTTGAGGACTTGAATTTGGATCTCGGTGCTCACATACAAAAAGCCAGGGGTGGCATCTGCTTGTAATCCCAGCAGGAGTGAAGCAAAACCAAGATCCCTGGGGCTCACTGGGCTGCTGCCAACCCAGCCTACTATGCAAGCTGCAAGACAGATCGAGAACCTGACTTTAAAAAAGAAAGTGCCAGTGCCAACAGAACAATATGTGCAGTTGACCCCTGACCTCCAGATGTGTGTGCATACGTATAATACAATGCACAACTACACACAGAGGAACACATAAGAATTTATGTCAAGTCTTTAGATAATTTCAATTATTTTCCTGTACTGGGGTCCTAAAGAATAAGGTTATTCTAGGGAAAACAACTGTTGGTTCCTATATGATTGAATTGGTATGCTAAGGCCCTTACTTTATACATACAATATTGTGATGCCTGAATTTAAAAATGCATGACTTCTATAATATAGAAATGAGTCCAGGCAGAGTTGCCACACACCTTTAATCCCAGCACTTAGGAGATAGAGGTGGGTGGATCTCTTGAGTTTGAGGCCAGCCTGACCTACAGATCTAGTCCAGAACAGCCAAAGCCACAGAGAGAAACTGAGTCTCATACAATTGACACCACTCTCCATATTTCCTTTTAAGGAATCCTGTCCTAATTTGCAACTCCTCAAGAGTGGGGTTGTTTCTCTCTTTGTTTGAGAAATATCCCATATAGTCCAGACTGGCCTTGAACATGCTATACAGCCAAGGATAAACTTAAATTTCTTTTTTAAATATTTTAAATTTTTAAATTTAATAATTTAAATTAATGTGTATATCTGTATGTGTGTATACCACATGTGTGCAGGTGTCTGCAGAGGCCAGAAAAGGGTGCTGGATCATGTTTCAAGCAGCTTACAACTGCCTGATGTAGATAAAGGGAACTGAACTTTCATCCTCCAAAAAAGCAGCAAGTCTCAATAACTAAGCTGGCTCTGTAGCCACTAACCTTGAATTTCTGATCATCCTTCCTCTACTTCTAAAACTCTGGGATTGTAGGTATGTGCTATCAGATCATTTATGGAGTGCTGAGGATCAAAGTCAGGAGTTGTATACTCTAGGCCAACTTTCTGCCGATTGAGTTACATTCCCATTTCTGCTTTAGTTTGAGATAGGGACAGGTTGACTTTTAATCCCTGGTCCTATCAGCTCTGCCTCTCAAGTTCTGGTATTTCAGGCATGTACTAACATGCCTAGTAAGATCTTAGAGGAATATCAAGTATTTGGAGCTATCAGAGTATATAGAACTTGTGCATCAGGAGTGAGATCTGAAGTTCTATCCTTAGAACTGGAAACTGTATCAAGTATAAATTTGTGTGTGTGTGTGTGTGTGTGTGTGTGTGGTGTCTGTGTTTTATGTGTATGTGTGTGCATGTATGTGAGAAGTGTATACGCATACATGTGTGCATGCTAAGGCCAGAGAAGGACATTTTGTTGTAGGGGTAACAGTGTTGTGGTGGTAGCATGAAGG